ACTATGTTTGTCATATCCATTTAATAATAGTATTCCAACCACACTATGTTTGTCATATCCATTTAATAATGATATTCCAACCACACTATGTTTGTCATATCCATTTAATAAGGGTATTCCAACCACACTATGTTTGTCATATCCATTTAATAATAGTATTCCAACCACACTATGTTTGTCATATCCATTTAATAATGATATTCCAACCACACTATGTTTGTCATATCCATTTAATAATGGTATTCCAACCACACTATGTTTGTCATATCCATTTAATAATAGTATTCCAACCACACTATGTTTGTCATGTTCATTTAATAATGGTATTCCAACCACACTATGTTTGTCATATCCATTTAATAATGGTATTCCAACCACACTATGTTTGTCATGTTCATTTAATAATGGTATTCCGACAACACTATGTTTGTCATGTCTATTTAATAATAGTATTCCAACCACACTATGTTTGTCATGTCCATTACCGATGATGCGTTTCGTTCAATTCCGAGCTCTTCGGGCCGGTTGGGATATAACAAAAAGAGTAGTGGTCAGATCATTATCCATACAAGTCATTTTATACAACAACCATTGTAATCATTCTTCGTCGGCATACATACCATAATAATATATATGTATTACGTTATAGAGGTAAAGAAAAGAGGACCGCTGGATGGACAAGCGTCATGTTGTCCAGTTTGTGGAGTGACCATCAGATCAGGAGAGTTGTTATCGCATTTTGAACAAGAAATCGGAAAACTGAACAAAATTAACAAGTAAGTTTGTTTATTTATAATTAAGCACAAAGCTACACAATGGGCTATCTGTGCTCTGCCCACCACGGGTACCGAAACCCAGCTTCTAGCGTTGTAAGTCCGCAGACGTACCGCTGTGCCACAGGGGGGCTAACAACTAAGATACAAATGTTTTCACTAAATAAAAAAATTCACTAATAAACTGAATAATGATAATAATAATAACATTTTGAAAAGTATTTCATTGCGCGGATAGTAATTAATAGAAATACTTATTTTAACTGTACCAGAACCTTGTATACAACACAAAACACCCTAGAGCAGCGTTTCTCAAACTAGGGTCCGAGAACCCCCAGCGGCCCGCGAGTCGTGTTCGAAATTCCATGACAATATTTAGAAAAATATAATCTATAGAATGAAAAAAATAATTTTCATAAAATTACATTTATCATATATTAATTAAACATTTAACTTTGGAATACAGCTTTTCATGTACATGGAATCTTTCTTTAAAAACCGAAAACATCGATAGGTTTTGGGTGGTCCACAAAAACATTTGAAATTGAAAAGGACTTCTCGGGTTACGAAAGTTTGAGAGCCGCTTCCCCATGTATTTCAGAACTTTCTTTGTTAAACTATATGTATACTTTTCCAAAATATAAATATATTAAAATATAGGTATTTTGTTTGTTGTTAAGCACAAAGCTACACAACGAGTTATCTGTGCTGTACCAACCATAGATATCGTAAACACTCCCATATACTACAAACTGAAATTGTGTATATTATATAGATTTAGGTTACTATATACCTGGAAAAAAGTTAAGCCCCCCCGTGTTTTTTTAAAGTGATTCAGATTCGACGTTCTTGTGACTGATTATAAATTACTATTCAATCTAAACGTGTTTATCA